TAAACCCCAAACCCTTATAAACCCCAAACCCTAAACCCTAAACCCCAAACCCTAAATCCATACCCTAGGATCCGACCCAACTTCCGCAGAGACTTCCGCAGGGAAATCCCTCGGAGCAGCGTTGGATCCACGCTTAGCCGAGGCTGGAGCACCGTGAGGTCGAAGGACTCCGGAGGAAAGGGATCCTTCGGTTGAACGGTTTAGGGTTTAGGGTTTAGGGTCTAGGGTTTAGAGTTTAGGGTTTAGAGCTTAGGGTTTAGGGTTTAGGGTTTAGGGTTTAGGATCCTTCGGTTAAACCCTAAAATTATAAACCCGAAACCCAAAACCCTAAACCCCTAAACCCCAAAGCCCCTAAACCCTCAACCCCAGGGTTCAGGGTTCAGGGTTTCGGGGTTCTTAGGATTTAGTAGGATTTAGGGGTCTAGGGAGCTCATAAAGGCACCCCCAAAAAGGTTTAAACTTTCAGTTCCCAAAGAGATGATCTTCTCCCAAAATGTGCAGGCTATGCCAGTTCTTCGCCTACCTGATGCTGGGGATCATCTCTATCCGATACAGAACGACCTAAAGCCTCAACCCTATACCCCTAAACTCCGCAGAGCGCAAGGTAGACGTAATTCGCTACAAAGGCGCCAAGGGCTCCACCGACTTCTCCGCCTCCATCCCAGCACTCTCCGACGCCAGCCTTTGCTCTTCTTCTTAAGGAACTTTAAGTTAACTGAAGCTACCATACCTTTGAACTAAGGTTTCAATTAGGCCTTAGGGCTGAGGAGTTTAGGGCTTAGGGCTTAGGGCGTAGAGGCTTAGAGTTTCGAAGACTAGAGCGTTTAGGGCTTCTAGAGCTACAAAGCTTAGCTTCAGCTACCATAGTTTAGGCTTAGGGAGTGTTAAGGAACTTAACTTAAGCTGCCAGAAAGTTAGGGTTTGGTTCAAGGTCCTTGTAAGGGTTTAGGGTTTAGGGTTTAGGGTTTAGGCTTTAGGGGGTTCTGTCAGGGCCTAGAGAATTAGGGAGTTTAACTTCAGCCCCCATGATAAGGAAAACCTACCACCTACCATAAGCCCTTCTTCTAGCATGGTAGCCTTACCAAAGAAGCCAAAGCCTCTGCTAGGAACCCTTAGTATGGTAGCTTAGGCTAAGTTCCCTAAACCCTAAACCCTAAACCCTAAACCCTAAACCCTTAGTATGGTAGCTTAGGCTGAGCTCCTTAACAAGGACCCAGCAGCTCTGGGATCCGACCTGGAGCGTCTTCATGATGGTTCTGATGAATCACATTGCCTGGGCTGCAGTTGAAATGCGAGAGGGTTTAGGGTTTAGGGTTTAGGGTTTCGGGTTTAGGGTTTAGGGTTTAGGGTTCTAGAGCTCTGCATCTGTTAGTCCGAATACCAGTGACAGAGGTAATAGATAGATCAAAACGGCTAATTCTCACAATTAGGGTCGTTTTTGGGGTCCCCAATGTAGTACGGCGGACCCTTCTAAAAAGGACCCTAAAACGGGACCCTAATTTAGAGAACTACCCAAATACCTATAGTCTAGTGTACACCATGCCTCGCTCCGACCACTCAGGCTCCCTCTGTTAGGTGCCACCAGAAGCCCATACTTAAAAAATCAAGGGACTTAGTAAGTACGGTTATAATCAGGGTAACTATACTTTTAACACCAATTAAGGGACTTATGACCTTACTTACTAAGTCCCCTGATCCTCCAAATAAGGTCAACTCGAAAAAAACATCTCGAAGCCCATACTAGAAAACAACTGTAAGCACCGCTATGAGTCGGCATAAGAACCCTAAACCCCTAAAGACCCCTAAACCCCTCTGAAAACCCTGAACCCTAAACCCTAAACCCTAAATCCTAAACCCTAAATCCCTCAACCCTGTGTGATTGGAAACCATTAAAAATTCCGCCGAGCTGCTCACTTCCACGATCTCCTGCTGGCTTGCGCTATTACTGAAAGGATCATGGGACTTAGTAAGTAGGGTTTAGGGTTTAGGGTTTAGGGTGTAGGGTTATAATTAGGGTAGCTATACTTATAACCCCAATTAAGGGACTTATAACCTTACTTACTAAGTCCCCTGATCCTCCAAGTAGGCCCCCAAAATAGTAGTTCAGCTAGGGTCTAGGGTGTAGGGGGTTTAGGGTTCAGGGTTGAGCATTTTAGGATTCAGGGGGCAGGGTTTGCACCCGACACCCGCCAATATCAGCAAGTCTGCCACAGTGCCACCGAGTCTCTTCCTTTTTGCAACAGCTTGTGCCGGCACCCATTTCTTCTAATAAGCGGCCCTTGAGCAGAGCCAGGAGCTGCGGCGTCTTCTGTGTCTACTTCAGGACGTTTGGGGCTTATAATAGGGTCATTAAAAGGGTTTCTCTGAGGGTTTAGTACGGGCTGCGATAGGAACTTCAAGAAGGCTTCTCTCCAAACTTCGATGGGGACATTGGGCATATAGGCCCGATATAGGGTTTAGGGTTTGGGGTTTAGGGTCTCTGCGGGTTTTAGGGTTTACAACTCGAGCTGTCGGTGTCGAAGAAAGGATTCCTGGCCCCGCAGCGCTGAATCCTACGTCCTCAACTCCGTAGCCCCCAAACCCAAGAACAGCGCAACAAATATATAGGGCAAGAAATAGGGAGTCACTTCGGCGCGGCTTCTTCCCAGACCGATTAATTACATGCTAAGAGAATCTAAGAGAGTGTTAGGGGCCTGAATAATTAGAATAGGGTTTTGGGGGCCCATTAGACTTTAATCAGAATAATTCCCTAAACCCTAAACCCTAAACACTAAACCCGCAACATAGAAATTGGTAATCATTTAGGCCCCTACATTCCTCCCGAACCCTGGTCCTGAACCCCAAAAAAACCCGGAACCCAAACTCCTAAAGCCCAAACCTTAGGAAGCCCTAAACTCAAGCCCAAAATAGACCCTAAACCCTAAACTCTAAGCCCTAAACCCCAAACCCGAAACCCTAAACCCGAAACTCTAAACCCCAACCCCTAAACACCCAAACCCCCAACCCCCCCCCCCCTAAAAATCCCTAAAGTCTGAGGGACCCTCTGTGACTCCAAACCCCCCCCAAGCGAAACCCAAAGACCCAAATTTCCCTGCAAACGACCAGATACCCCAAAACCATGATGTTTTGGGTTTAGGGTTTAGTGTTTAGGGGTTTAGGGTTTAGGGTTTAGGGGTTAGGGATTACATCTAGAATTATCGGGTTTAGGGTACGGTTCAGGGTTTAAGGCAACTATAGACTATTTATGCCTCAAAACTCTATTCCAATCATTCAGGTCCCCACATTAAACCCCGCATAGAGTAACCCTTATCTTGAAAAGTCCGAAAACAGAAAAGCCCTCATACATCCCTTCATTAAAGGAGCCCTTGACGAAACTCGGACCCTCTTCGAAGTCTTAAGGCCCCAATGCTCCGAGGCCCCTAAACCCTAAACCCCTAAACCCTTAACCTGCTCCCTTCTCCCTAAGGCTCCATGTGCCCAAATAGTATGTCCTAAACCCTAAACCCTACACCCTAAACCCTAAACCGTTTAGTAACAAAGGTAGTATCAAGGAACCCCAAAGCTTTGAGGCTCCAAGGCCCAAGCCATGGGCGTACCAGGATGGCCCGAGTTGGCCTGGGAGTCGCAAGGCAAGCAGGGGAGAAGTTGGGGGTTCCTGCCCCTTTGAAGGTTGAGGGCCCGCTCAACCCTAGACCCTAAACCCTTTAAGGTTCAGGGTTGGGGCTCCGATTTGGGGTTTAGAACATCAAACCCCTAAATCCCTAGGGTTTACGGCAGAGGGTTCCTTATGCTTCCGGGTGCCCGCAACTGAAGGATCCTTTCAATAGCAGTAGCACCCTTAAACAACGCAAAAATGGAATAGGTAACATGTACAACAAAAATCCTAACAACCGTAATACCCACAGCAAGAAGTATACAGTAATAGCAACAGTAGTGGCGATAACAATACTAACAATAGTAATAATCGTCGTCGTAATCATAAGGAGATCAACAGTCATCATGCTGATTTTTGTCATAATAGTGACGGTAACAATAACAGGATACTCATAATGGTAATGATCATGACCTCTTCAATGGCTGTGGGTCTATAAGAACCCCCGAACCCCAAACCCATGAACTCTTCAGTGACTGCTCTTAGAGCGATTCCAACATAGTAGGACGACGTCGGGTTTAGGGTTTAAACCCTAAACCCTAAACCGTAAACCAAACGGTTTAAGGTTTAGGGAACATTCCATCGGCTTTTCAAATCCGGCTCCCTCAGCTCTCGAGCTCAATAAATACGCCTGGCGAGCCAAGATTTCTTCAGTTGTGCATAGACATAGACCTATGCAAACATATATTACTAGCCCTGTCATTAATAGTGCTGTTGTTGCTATCCGCATCAGCATACTATTGTTTTAATAGCAGTTTCTGGCACTGACTGCTTCTTACTTATTCGAAATGGTACCATCGCTAACATCGAAGATAGTACTGTTACATCATCATGCACACACAGAAACACAGATGTATGTGTATATATATATATATGTATTTATTTATTTATACATAAATGTAACATACATATATATATATATATATATACATATATAAACATGCATACATTGCATACTTACATACATACGTGCATGCCTCTAAACTCTAAGCACCTAAGCTTTAGACTCTAGACCCTAAGCCCTAAACCCCGAAACCCCTAAACCCGAAACCCCGAAACCCCGAAACGACACCCCAGGAGTCGGGGCCTTCTGAATAGCATCCATGGCCAGGCTCCTCAAACAGGAGATCACCAGCTCATCCTTCTTGATGGCAACCTGCTTAAGGTTCAGGTTTTTGGGGATTAGTGTTTAGAGCTTCGGGTTTAGGGTTTAGGGGGTTAGGGCTTAGGATTCAGGTTTTAGGGATTGGTGTTTAGGGTTCAGGGTTTAAGGTTTAGGGATGTGGTAAAGTCGAGGGTGCTCGCTGGCAAATGCACACCCAGGCCGCTCGCAACTGTGCGCAGACAGCCCACCCCAAGACCACCCTGAGCTCAAACATTTTGGCGCTAGTTCTGAAATCTTCTAGCATCCCAGCGGGGGCTTGGGCATCGTCGACCTCGGTCGTTAACTTCAACGGGGCCCAGGCAGAATCCGGATTGGGCTTTCTGTGAGGCTGTGTTGGCGAGTTCTCATGTGGGCTTTTTGTGAATTGTGAGAGTCAAGCAGTCGTGAAGGGGTGGGAGGGGTCCAACCCCTCTCAAGAAGGCAGCCGCCCAAATGGGGGGGGACTCACGAAGGCCCCACAGATTTTCGCCTCCGGGACCGGCGGGCTCCAAGTCTTTTTGCGAGGCGTGACGGGTTGGGGGGGTCGAGGCCTTGTCCTTTCCCAAATCGTGAAGGGGGGTTCAAACCCTTGTCCTTGTCCAAGTCGTGAAGGGTTGCGGGGGTCAAGCCCTTGTCCTCTTCCAAGTCGTGAAGGGTTGTGGCGGGTCAAACCCTCCTCCTATTCGAAGTTGGGAGGGGGTTTTTAGCTTAAGTCTAAAGATTTAGAACTGTAAGATTCTAAGGATCGGGATTTACAGTTTGGGGCTTGGGCTAAGGGTTTGGTTACAGACTTCAGGGGCTTGAGGCTAGTACTAGGAAGAACAACAGCGATGGTGGTAAGGATGGTAGCAGCATCAACACTAATGACTAGGAGCACACGACGAGCAGCAAACACAACAACGACACCGACAACGACGACTCATTTCGAAACTGACTGACCGCTCCTGCTCTTCTTCTTCCTGCTGCTACTGCGAACGCGATTTGTGCTGCTGTTGGCACCGAAGCAGCCGCAGGGCCCTGCAACTGAGCGGCCCACCTCGGCTCCCACTCGGTGCACATGCTGCTAGAGTCAACGTAAGGGTCAGGGCATGGCTGGCGCTTAAGGACAGAAGCCACCGCGCGCGTGGATTCAGTGACCGAGGCAGTGAACTGTCGCCTCCACTGGGCCTGTCTAGCCCGAGCTGCGGCAGTTTCCTCGAGGGAGATAAAACCCGAAGCACGTTCCAAGGCTTCGTCCTGGGACGCGGGCAAAACACCTCCTGCAGGCAGCATGGCATGCCAATGTCGATTGGCCTCCGTATATTGCCCTTCAAGCCTAACGGCCTGTTCCTGTGCCGCACGGTGCAAACGCTTCCACCTGCGCAAGGAATAGACCATACTTCCCACAGTATAGGGTCCTTAAATGTAATGCCGGATTTATATCAACAACAGTACTACTACCACCACCACCGCTGCTCCTGCCGTGCAACTCCATGACCATGAGTCCAAACCTCATCCCAAACCGCCAGAAGCGCTGCCATCACTGGTTGTAATGTCCAGCTGTAGTCCTTATGTAAGCACACTACTTATGATACACCGCCCTTGCTTTGCAAAGTGCAGGAGGGCATGGAGACCCAAACCAACTAAACGAACCACTGTCATCTGCCAAGCCATCTCCGAACCGCCTGACATACACCGGCATCAAGCAAACCCAAAGCCGAAGCCGTAAACCCGAAACCCAAACCTCAATACTCAAACACCAAGCACTACACCCCAAACACTAAGCGCTAAAAACCCATAACATCCCAACTGGGTTTCTTGTTGAGGAACGTAACATAAACAGGACACCCTATCATTAATCACAGATCCCCGTTAATGTAACTTAAACGAAGCCTCCAAAACGGATGAGTGCTCCTAAACCCTGAACCCCTAAAACCCTAAACCCTACACCCGAAACCCTGAACCCTTAAAACCCTAAACCCTAAACCCCAAACCCAAAGCCCTGAACCCATAAACCTACCTTGTCGACATCTTTTCTCTCCTTTGCACCGAAGATCAGGTCCTCCAAGAGCAAGGCGCGGCTTTGGGGAAATGAGGCTTTCTTCAGGGCTGTTTAAGCACAAGGGTAGAGGGTCCTAGGGTTGAGGGTTT